TATAATAAAAAAACTTTATTTAAAAAATTCTCGATGTTACTAATTTATCTTGTTTACTTAATCCAAACTTTGGGATAACATTGTTTTTGTAGCAAGAAACATACATGAAATTATATGTCAAAATTAAATCAAAATTGTTGTCTAAAGAGAATATATTTATCTCGAAAACAATTGGCAATCAATACATAATAGTTCACAACGTTTCAACCCAGGATCCTTATCAAGTAATCTAACAAAATACTCTCACTTTCTGTCTAATGCTTATGAGATTTTGGCAGAAACATCATACATGAAAGACTAGAAATTAACAGAAAATAAGTATGATGCACAGCAAAACGAGTAAAAAAGATCGAGAGTACTTATTTACACAGAGAATCCCACGATATGGCTCCAATTCATATTGCGTACCATACAAGCGAAATTCACAATATCAAAGTGGCATACACGAAATACCAAAATTACAGAGCTACAAAACGAAACATGTTCACACGATGGAAGTGAGGAACGAACTGACAGTCTCGCATAAGTTTAAAAATTAGAAATTTTTTTTCAATAAAGATTTTGTACGAAGCACGTATACCTAGCGCATTTTATTAACTCTTTTAAGAAGGTAAGTTTTGTACGGATATTACTCTTTTTACAATTACATGAGAACCATGAAAAGATAAAACCTTTGATAAATTAAAAACATGAACAATACAGAAGTCAACGATTGTTCTGCAGTATGTTAACGTCCTACAGAAATATTCGTATCATAACCCGTTAAACTTGAAATGCTTGGTCTGCATCGAAATCGGAATTATATAAAATTGGAAATTGGAATTATATAAAATATTAACGTTATAAATTATCCTTTGCAGAAAAATAAATATTTTAATAATAAAATGTCATTATATTATGTGGTACAGGCAAAACAAATAATTACCTATCATGTGCCCTTGTTTCCTTTTTCGATTGTTCACACATTTGAGGATCCAAATCAACTGTTTCTTGACTTTGACATTCTGCAGCGGAATTTGTATTATAAGCCATTGAACTTGAAGTGCTTGGTCTACATTGAAATACGTAGTCATTAGAAATATACTTATTTAAAACACTAATGTTGTAAATTATTTTTTTGAAAAAGAGTAAATATTTAACCCTCGGAGAACACATATTTTTTCATTCACGGAGAACACTTTGGGTCAATCTGACCTTACACATACTTTGATCGTCCACCATTTTAAATTGACGAGTGCAATCAACTTGAAAAAATTTCCAGATGTACTTGAAAGCTTGGAACATTGTTAAATCAATTGATATAAATAAAAAATGCCGTTGGAATTATTTACAAAAAACGTAATTTACGAGAAAAAATTTATTTTTTTTATTTTTAATATTTTTGACTAAAAATTTTTCTGGCAAAAAAAACGGGGTCAAATTGACCCTATGTGTTTTCCGAGGTTTAAATATCAACATATCATTATATTGTATGATATAAGCAATACGAATACTTACTCTTTAAGAGCGTCTGTTTTTTCTGTCGTTTCTTTAAATGATTGAACAAGCAAACCAGATGTATCTTGACTTTGACGTTCTGCAAAAGGATCCACACCATTATCCGCTAAACTTGAAGTGCTTGATCTGCATTGAAATACGATGAAATTAGAAATGGAAAATATGTAAATGGAAATTATTTAAAATATTAAAGTTGTAAATTACTCTTTCGCAATTAAAGAGTAAACATTTAAATATCAAGATATTATTACATTGTGTGATATAAGAAAAACGAATAATTACTCATTATGTGCGCCTGTTTTTCCTGCCGTTTTTTTAAATGATTGACCGGACAAACCAGATGTATCTTGACTTTGACATTCTGCAGAAAGATCCATAACACAACACGTCGAAGTTGAAGTGCTTCGACTGCATTGAAATATGGTGCAATTAGATATGGAAAATATGTAAATGGAAATTATTTAAAATATTAAAGTTGTAAATTACTCTCTCGCAAAAGTAAACATTTAAATATCGAGATATTATTATATTGTGTGATATAAGAAAAACGAATAATTACTTATTGAGTGCGACTGTTTTTTCTGTCGTTTCTTTAAATGATTGAACGGGCAAACTAGATGTATCTTGACTTTGACGTTCTGCAGAAGGATCCATACCATTATCCGCTAAACTTGAAATGCTTGGTCTGCATAGAAAAGTGGTGTGATTAAAATTA